AAGAAGAGAGTAACACTAAAAACATTGAACATAGGAACACAGGACCCCTTCAAAATAAAACAGGACATATGAGACGCAGACCTGACAACATAAGACACACAGACATGAAACACACGAAGGGCAAGGGAGACTTCACAGGGGTTGAAAACACAAGGGGGAACTAATAAGCAAATGCACATAGGAAACTTAATAAGCTTAAACATACACTATAAACATCAAAAGAACTAAAACTCAAAACACTGGGCCATAAGACCCAGGATTGTAACAGTGACACTGACACAGAGAAACACGGGGCTTAAATACACTGAGGCATAATCAGGGAATGGGAAACAGGAGGGAAACACAGCTGGGAGAGATTAGGGCTAACAAGACAGGGGAAGCAAAACAGAATACTCTCACATGAGACATGGACCTTCACAATAAAACAGGAAACGAAGACACAGACTTGACACAGGACTAAAGCTATACTAAACACAAGGGTACAAGAACAAAACCCTTAACTGAAACATAGACTAAGAATAATAATAATCAACAAAGCACAACAAGAGATTAAGAATATAACCCTTAATACAAAATCAAATCAAAACATAGGAAACTCAAAATGCTGGGTCAAAATGACCCAGAACCGTGACACAGACATGATAACATACTTTTGCTGTGTGCTCAGCAGCTTGTAGAAGAAGTTTAGTGTGTAAGAACTGGCGAGAAGGTGGAGCTGAAAAGCTAAAAGAAACTAAAAATACATGCAACAAATTGTTTCAAATCAACTGACTATTAGCTGGTGCTGCTGCACCGTGAACAGCGGTACCAGCAAACGACTAGTAACCAGGCCTTACAGTCACAGGAGGTGGCTTCTAGCAACAGCTGTGGAGAAGTGAGGGAGAGAAGGAGGGAGGTGAAAGGTTTTAAAGAAAAACTCCCTCTTTCTTTTTTTTGTCATGTAGAAACGACGCAACATCACTGGCGACACAAAATGTGTTGCTCATTTGCTTTCACTGCAGTGATATAGTCTATATATATTTGGTCATTTAAGCCATTTTATTGTTTTTTTTTCTATTTTAGATAACTCGAAATCTATGGTAAGTCTCAAAAGTTGAAGAATATTTCAAAAACTTCTGTTTCTACTCATAGATGTTCCACTTTGCAGGAATTATTCTGTCCCTT